TTTGACAAATAACTAGTCAACAGATTTTAACTTTTTGTCTGTATCCGAAATAAAAATAGGTGTTTCCGAATGATTTTCGTCTGTTAAACACGAATCCGTTGTCGAAATTGTTCACCCTAAATTTCGTTAATGACACACAAAAGTATCAACTTTCAGCTTTAAAACGTATTTCGTACCATTTCGATGTGATTTTTCGTTTTCAAGATACAGCTAAAAGTATAAACATTGGTCGCGCGCGCTCGACATCAATATCATGTTTAGCTGTATCTTGAAAACGGAAAATCATATCGAAACGATACACAATGCATTTTAAAGCTGAAAGTTGATACTTTTGCGTGGCATTAACGAAATATAGGAAAAAATTTGCTACCGGTGTTATAACGTCATGAAACTCTCAAAATTGGCGTTTTTGGTCTTTTTGACGCTATTTTTTTTTAATTATGACCTAATAGCTAAATTTGGACAACAGATTTGTGTTCAGACGAAAACCATTCAGGAATTATTTTCATTCGGGATATAGAAGTATTGTTCACCAACGTAATTAGAATTTCATTAATTTCCGATTATTCGTCAACTTCTTTGCATAATTAAGATAGGGCAATATGTTGTGTATAGTATCATATCTGGAGATTGGTTCTTTAAACTCAACAGAATTTGCAAGGCTAACATAGAATCAAAATTTCGACTCGGGAACAATTCGAATTATTTTCAAGCTTATAAAATTTAAACAATTCAAGACTCGATTAGGAGCTCAAGATTTTAATTATTCCTACTGCGTTCAGTTGTATGAAAATTTCATAAATCATTGTTTGGAACCGCTCAAATACTATCTTAAATTTTCTATAATCTTGATTGTGCTCTTTGATTATGATTCGATTGATACTTTAATTACCCATAACGCGAAGTCACGAAGTCACGAAGTACACGAAGTGTAACACCATTAACGCAATTGTTTAATTAAATAAAAAAAATTAAAAGAAATGAAAATTCAACGCCAAAAGCTGAGTTGTATGTTTGATTTAAACATTGAAGTCCGTGTTTTTAAACTTGGGGATCATTAATGTGAAATTAGCTTCCATGTTATTTTGATTTTGTAAAGTTCAAGTATTATAAAGGATTATAGAGTATATCGTGATGAATGATAATTTTTTCAATTTCGAAGAAAGTCGAAGCACAAGAAAAATTGTTTTATTGCGTGACGATTGACGAAAACGTTCGGCCTTAAGGTACAATGTTATGCGAGGTGGAAAGTAGGAAGGAAGGCAGATAGGTGGAAAATGCGAGAGAGGATCCTCACGTAGAAAAGCGAGCCGCAACGGCAACGTCGACGATACCGAGCGGATAAGAAAGGAGAAGAGGGCACGCGGACGTTGGGAAGAGGAAGAAAAGCGACGGGTGAGAAGGGAAGTGCGTGAACGGGCTTCTCAGGCGTTGATAGGCAATTTAGTTGATTGCCGACTTCAAACGACCCGAAAAAGCAGCTCGGAGACGCGACGAGATGTGACGCGACGCGACGTGCTGTATGAACCGTTAGGAGGAAACCAAAAGCGCGAATCAAGCGGTCGCGAATCTCGGAATTTTTAGAACAATGCAACGTCTCTCTAGCTGGCTTTCGCTTCCTTCTTCCGCAACAGCTACAGGCCGTTTCACGTGACGCGATCGTCCGCCCACATAATAGAGCATGCACGGAAAAAACATTAATATCAATTCAAGACTCATATTCTCATATCTAAGCAAGAATATATAACACGTTGTCTCATCTTATTGTGACACGCTATACACGACATGATTATCGATAATTTTAAATGCACTACGGCCGGATAGATGAAGTCTCGTGATAAAGAGGTAAATTTTTCGAGCTACCGAATTGGAAATTGCGCTTTGATTCGGGCACGACGTAATTGTTATATCACGGACACGAATCAAACGGTCGGTACACTAACGGTAGTTAGATCCCAGTCTGTGCTCTCGTCTTTAAGTCCGCTTAAGATTTAAGACAAAAAGGAACGAACGGAGCACACCAAATAAATGCTGTAAGACGAGGTGCCAGAGTGACGTTTGAATGGAACCGCAGCTCCTTTATGCCCCGTCTGGAACCCGACACCCGAAAATTGTTCTCAAAATTCGTTTTGCGCTGCGAAATCTCCGATGCTTATGTAGTGATAAAATAGCACGTTGAAAGTATTCGATCGAATTTGATTGTACACGCCATTTTCGCGATGCAACATGATAAGGAAATTAAACCATACACGTATAATTTTACGTACACGTATAATCGTACGTAGTAATGTTTGTGTCAAGTAATAATCTGAGATTCTAAATTATGCATTAAAAATATAAAAATGCACAAATTACTCGCACGTACATAGCACGTATATATTATAGAAAAAAATTAACAAGCATTTATATAACACGTAAGAGAAGAGTCGTGTCTTTTCATGCTTATGTAAATTTTCATAGAAATATGAATATTCAAATATTCAAATATGAATCTTCAAATAAATATTTAATTCATATATTTCCCCGTTAAAACTGTTGTATATTTATTTGGTATCTTTCGGTATTTTTATTGTGTCGTTAGACGAGAGATAATAATTCTTACGTAAAACGAATTTGTAATAAAATGACGATGCAGTAACTTTTATCTCTCCATCATCGTTAAATCAATTTAATTAGATTGATATGAATGCATACTGGTGTGTCACAATCGGCAATTTTAACGTTTACGTTTAAAGCATTGAGATGACGCGCAAGTTGAGAACAGTTGGCTGGCGGACGGCCATTTTTACGTTTTGTCGATGTTCATTGTGTTTTGGTGAGACATCGCGGACCTGCCTAACACTCAACTCATTATATCACTAATTATTCATAACGTCGGGGATTATTCCGACGAAAATAATCAATTCCCACAGTGCGCCCGCTTCTCCGCATCTCTCTTCCTGTTCGGCTCCGTCTATCCTCTAACGTCAACATCCGCGCTTTTCTTTCCGATCGAGGTTGTTTACTATCTCTGATATTCTGTATCGGGGAGCGTTTTTATCTTCGTTCATAATACAGATACTTATAAAGCTACAACTTGAATATCTGTGAGGAGTGTGTAATAAAATATTACTGTCTTAAGAGGCAGTCACGCATTTTGTAAACATATCGCCGTGAAATTCAACATTCCGTGCAATTGTATTTCGCGGAGCAATGTTAGACCATCATAAATCATTGCGAGTTATGTGACGAATTGTTGCACACGATGCAAGAAATAGAGGTCGCAGTTTGCACGTAAACAAACCTCCGACGATGACTCTTACTCGTTCGCTCATCGACGGGAGACGGGGAAAACGGACTCGAGTTACACACAACTCGAGAGCGGCGCCTCGACTTTCGGCTCCGCTGGATGCGATGTCGGTCCGCTCTCGATTTAACGGCAAATCGAAATAGCCGGCCGATAGAAAAGTTTCCACCTCGATCGAGTGCGCGGTGGAAGCGCTCGAGTGCACTCTCTCTCTCTCTCTCTTCTCAGGTCGCGGCGTTTGCGAACAACGTATCAGGGAACGCGGTAAGACAGCTGACGGTTGAATGCCGTTTTCCCAAAAATTCCCCCGGATCCTCGAGAGCCGCACAATGTCGGGCGGCGCGCGTGGATACGCGCGACAAAGGTGTGCGTATCGATTTTCGGTAACACGATCTTGAGTGGCTCTCTGTTAAGTGATAGCTGTAAGTGGCGGTTAAGTGCTCGTTTCACGCCAGGACGACGATACGCCTATTAATTTACTTCGGTGGCCGCGTGCAACGGAGGGTCATAAGTTCAATCTCGTCCGCGATTAGCGGCCATGACTCCCGACGTGCGTATCGATACGTGTGTCCTGCAAGAAGCGCTATTTATCGATAGCACTGCTATGTATCACGAGCGATAATCGAAGTCAGCCCTTTCACGGGATAATTACTCGCAGGACGATCGGAGACTTCGATCTTGCCGATTTATCGGCATGGATCGTTGTACCCCGACGAGGCCTCAATCGCTGTCGATACATGCTCAAGCTATGTTATAATTAGCAACGCGTAACGGGTAAGAAGCGAGTGCCTCGAGTACGAATGTCAGCAGCATGCACGCTACGTCTGGTCACTCGCGTTTCAGAACAGTCGGCATCATATATACCGTATCATTACTTAGATCGATTGTTACACGATTTTCAGTCTTACATATATATATATATATATACACATAAGAAATCGAAAACTATAATAATTAGTCATTATAATCCTACTTTTATAAAGTTACGTATGCGATTTTGAACTTTATGTTGTATGTTATACGTCAACTTCATGTGTAAGACTGAAAATCGTTTAACTCTCGGCCTGTGGAATATGGCATACATGACGTTGACTGAACAACAACATATCAAGTGATTCATGACTGCATAGTTCGACAACCGAAAGATCATACAGGATGCGCGACGCTGTTCCCGGCGGTTATTCTCGTAATCGTTTTAATATTGAAATCGTCTCGCCTATATCGCGCTGCGATACTCAAGATCGTACAAGAGCTATTATCATAATCGATTAAGCCATTTTCGCGTCAGAGGCGGGGACACTACACCGCCTAAATAACTATTCTCCTTACTAATCAATCGTTTACAGCTAAGTAGATAACGAGGGCCGTGAATTGGGTCAATCATTTCGTAAGGTCATGCGTAAGAGAAATAAATGTCCTGAGGAGAAGGGGGTGAATGCAGGGAGATAAATACTCTCGATGGACCTACAAAAGTCTGCTTGATTCGGGAATATAGCGGCGTATGTTTCAAGTCGCTACAATACTGCAAAATTGATCAAACCAATTTGTCCAACGAACTAATGCGTTACATACACATCGAAAGTTAAGACGACCTGCGAAAATCGTAATACTTTCTCTTATTAATCGCGAAGAGGATGGTCCGAAGAGCACACAAGCAGACAATGTGGATCCAGGCAGCGGCAACCAAGTAAGAAATCAACATGATCTAACTCACCATGAGGCGGCGTGTGTTGAGTCGGGCTGTGCTGATGATGATTCGTGGTGACCGCCGTGCCCGGAAGTACGTGCTGCGCATGCGCCGCGGGATGCAGGTTGACGCCAGGTGGCGATGCCGGAAGTTGGCCCGGTTGATGTACCTGATGATGCGGTACGTGGTGCGCCGGGTGGGGGTGGGGCGGCGGTAGAAAGGCGGCCGCCACGGCCGCCTGCGCGTTCAGGTAGGCCATCCGCGAGGCCGTAAGATTGCCCAGATTGCCCAGATTCCCCAGATTACCGAGATTGCCGAGATGATTCAGGCTGGGCATGTACTCCCACAACTTGGAGTGATGGGGCGCCGCCGGCGCGTACGAGACGGCCGACACCCCGGCGGGCGGCGAGCCCTGCGGGGAGCCGCGATCGGTACCGCTCCTGTTGCCGGTGCCATCGAGGCCCAGCAGCTCCTGAATCGCGAAGGCCGATCGCTGCTGTTGCTGCGGCATCTTCCACCGTGTGTCCTTGAACTGGCGGGATTGCGCGGACTCAAACGTGCGACATCCTCGACCGCGTGTTCGCGAACGGGTACGAAGCGATCCTCGGATCCTCGCGTCGCGACGGTTTACCGACGGACGCGTCCTGAGTAGACCGAAGTGGTTGAAAGTGAACTCTGGGCCGTGTCGGGGCTACCGGCCGACGTCGGAGCGCACATTCGACGGTGCGAGCTTACGTCTAACTGAGTTCTCGATCGTACGATTCTCGATGTCGCGAAGAGTGCCTGAGTCTCTTGGATTGGATCTCGTTGTTCTGTTTCGTTCGCGGGAGACTTCTCTCTCCCAACGTTTAGGAACTCGATCGTAAATCGAACGTGTCGTTGTATATCTCGGAGATACCGATTGGTGTTCCGTGAGCGCGCAGAAAAAAGTAGATACTGGCGAGAGACTACCTGCCGAGGGCTTAAGAAACCGTCGGCGCCATTCTCGATGGGATCCCACGCGAAATCAAAGAAATTGACCGAGCAGTATTCCCGGATCTGATAGGCCCTGACATTACGCTCGCCGTCCACGTCCGACGGTGGTCGTCGTGCGACAGCGTTTCACCGGTTTACAGAATGCTCGTTCTGAGACCGTCGGAAGCCAATCTGCCGGTCGTATCGCGCGCGACCGACGCGAGGAAGAGACGTGGAGTAGTGTGCGTCTCCGGTAGGCCCCAGGTGTTTTCGTGTATCTTCATGAAAATTAGAACCCCTTAATAGTCCGATACCTGCGTGGTTAATACGATTCGCGCCTCGATCTTTCTCTTCTCTCGTTGCAACGGGGGAAATAACGTGGGTGTATCGCTGGAAACTACCTTCTTGGGAAACGTGCGGGTCGACGTTCGCCGGCCGTCGGCAAGGCGAACGCTGCGCGCTCCGCGTCGAAAAACGGGACGTCGGGGAATTTACGCGCTTCCCTTATCAGGACACTCAGTGTGTAATCCTTACTTACTCTTGCGTCCTCCTCCTCCACTTCCGTTAGAACGAACGGTTTCGTTGTGCTCAGGTACCGATTGCTCCGTCTATCGCTCGTCACGACACTGCTCCGTGCGCGCATACGTCGATCTTCCTGGAAGTCTTCGACGTGGTGAGCCGAAACCTCCGTTCCAGACGCGAACGCTGGACAACACGCGCAGGGAAAGTCGCGCGTGCTTAGGCTTCATTTAGGGAAACGCGTGCGGGTCCGAGCTCGTCGCTCCGCACTTCGCGAAACCGTCTCCTTTCATTCCTCCGCTCGAAAAAGGATTGGGTTTCAAGGACTAACAGCGGCAACCTCACTCCAGCCGGGTCCAATCCAGCAGTTGAAGTTGGCCGCACCGGTGGTCGCGTCTCAGGAAAACGTGCCGACTGAGCGATCGGTTGACGATTGAATCCGAGCCCTGGCGAGGTTCGTCGGACCTCTTAGACCGGACGCGCCAACTGGCATGCGTGCTCCTCACTAGTCCACCGTCTCGATCACACGCGTCGGCCGCAACACTCTCCTCTACCTGCGTAATTATCCCCCGTCGGCGAGCCGACTTCACTCTGCTACTCTCGCGCGTATCTGTTGGCTAAAGCTGGCCCGGTCTTCGGTTCTTGCGGTCTTTTAGGATGTCTTGACTGACGACAGTTCGGCGAAACGCGCGCGATAAACTCCCGTCGCGATCAACACTCGGTCCGCGGGCTTCGTGCTCGAAGAAACGTGGACGATGGAAGTGACGGAGCGAGGTACGTAGGCAAGTAAGTTGGCGAATAGGGTAGGTCGCCTCGAGGGATGGTCCCGATGAGAGAGCAAGCGGCTCCTGTGTGTGTCCGCCCGTCGTGGCGCAACCGTGTCGTCGTCGCGGCGTTGGACAACTGAGCTGTCGAGCGCAGCGCGGGGTTGCTCGGCTGTACGCGACGGGTAATGAAGAAGGGAAACCCCCGGGGGCGGCTGTACGACGTTACACGCACCCACACACACACACACACGTGTACCGTAACGCGCGCGCGGAGGGTAGCTTTTGCCCCGTCCGCGCGCACAACCTGCCTCTGCCCTGCCGCCGTCGCTTAGCCCCCTCCGCGGCCCCCTCCCGCT